GTACCAAAAGGATTTATACATGTTAATTGTGGAACTTTTAGGTTTGTATCATCAGGTAGAAACAGCTTCTGAAACCCTCTGGGCCTTAATTATAAAGTCTTCATGTATGTAAAATAACCTAAACCACATTTGTTTTGCAGAGTTATTCAGTTGTTACGTGTCTGTCTACCTGGATCTTGTTGGAGGTCCATCTGCGGTGAACCTGCGACTTGTCTTCTGGGTCCATGTTTGCATGATAGGGATGAGCTGATATGTCTCTTTTCTTTAGTTCAGAGGAAACCATCTCAGCATCCTTCTGGGAGAACACGTAAACTATGCCTGTGGTACAAACATGGGGTCACAATATGGCAGCTCTGTGTAGAAACATGCAGCAACAATAAAAGCAGAGGGAAAACCATGGAAGCTTCTACCTGACTGGTTCTTGTATTTTCCTTTAATCAGCGAGGTGATGTCACTCATTAGAGCCTCGTTGTCTGAGTCTTTAATGCGAACCTGGGGAAAGAAAAAAAAAACAAAACAAAATAGGATTTTAGGTGAAATTAATCTGAAATCCTACGAGTGGAAGGATGGAATGCAATATAACTAAGGTGTCCAAATATCTTTCAGACTCAATTTTATGTGATAGACGAAGCATCCTAAATACATAGACTCCTCAATAGTAACTCTATATCAATATTTAATCCATTAATGTCTCTTTAAATCTTTTCACATCCCCCTCTTGCTACCATTAGATAAAAACCATTTAGCCTCCCCTGTTTCCACCAGAGGCCTGATCCGCAAAGCAGATACCTTCCGGTTTAACTCAGACTTTCAGGCTCCACAAAGCTGGATTCATTCTTAGCGAGGCAGTTACCATGGTAACATACTCTGAACAGCAAACTTGCTGCAGGGCTGGAATAGCTTTCAGGATGGATCTGAAGAAAAAAACACTCCACCATAAACCTTTAACTTGCTGTTCCAGGAGAAACCTCTGCATACCTTCCAAGGTCATTCTCCTCCTTTAGTCGCACAAATGCTGAAAAGTTTGACTGATGTTTCCTCTACGTTGGAAACCATCTCACATGACTTTAACTTACAGGTACAGAATCAACATAAAAATTGTAACCAGAGATTCATCATTTTATATTTTGGACCTGTCAAACTTTACAAAAGAATGCAAGTTTTTAAAGTATAGTTTATTCTTTTATTTTCTATCTCTCCAGATTTTTTTGTAGAAGTAATAACAAAAATCAGCAGTAGCAGCTGTGACCTTTACAGTGCTCTGTGCACACAGCAAACCACCACACATGACATGGACACAGGCCTGATCTAGTTTTTATTTTCCTTTTTCTGACGCTGAGTTTCTGACGCTGAGTTTCTGACGCTGAGT